GAGACGGGGTCTCACTCTTGCTCAGGCTGGTCTCGAACTCCTGAGCTCAAACAATCCGCCCGACTCGGCCTCCCAGAGTGCTAGGATTACAGGCGTGAGCCACCGCGCCCGGCCACGTTTCTTTTGCTAAATTTATTTTAGGAATAAATTTTCTTTTGTGTAGTTTATTTTTGATGCTATTGTAAATAGAATTGTTTTAATTTCATTTTTGGATTTCTCATTGCAAGAGTATAGAAATACAGTTGAATTCTGTCCCCTTCTGTGTTACCGAATATGTTTATTTGAATAGTTTTTTAGTGATTTCTCAGGATTTTTTGTATATGAGATCGTGTCACCTGCAAACAGAATTTCGCTTCTTCTTTTCCAATCTAGATGCTTTTTATTTCTTTCTCTTGCCTGGTTGTCCTGGCTAGAGCCTCCGCACAGTTTGAGTAGAAGTGGCAAAAGCAAGCATGGCCGCTTTGTCCCTGGTCTCAGGTGAAGCTTTCCGTTGTTCACTGCTGAGTGTGTCGTCTGTGGGGCTTTTTTAGGCGCCCTTGATCAGATTGAGGAAGTTCTCTTCTTTTCTAGTTTGTTGAGTGTTTTTATCATGAACAGATGTTGGATTTTGTCGGATGCTTTGCCCGTATTTTTCAAGATGACTGTGTGGATCTTGTCCTCTGTCCTATTGAGATGGCACAGGACATTAATTGCTTTTCGGGTGTTAAACCAACCTTGCCTTCCTGGGCTGCATCCATCCTGGTCTTGGTGTTACTGGATTTGCTTTGCTCATATCATGTTGGGGATTTTTGTGTCTGTGTTTGTAGGGATATTGTCTGTGGTTTCCTGGTGAAGCCCTCAGTCTGCCTTTGGTATCAGGATAATAATGGCCTCTGGGGATGAACTTGGGTGTGTGGTCCCTCATCCTCTCTTGTTCTGTGTTCTTCAGAATCCTGGTTGTCAAATGCGTGTCTCTCTTTGCCTTTTCCTCCCACAGGAGATGGAGCCTCCCCCTCCCTTCCCCAAGGAGATCCCACACAACGAGAAGCTCCTATCCCTCAAGTACGAGGTAGGCCTCCTCCCAGCCCCCTGTTCCCAAGACCCAGGCCTGTGCCCCTCCAGACCTACCCTCCCCAGTCTGCTGCACTCACGTCCGGAACTTGGGGTCAGTAATGGTGTCCTGTTGTCCTGGTATGCAGAGCTTGGACTACGACAACAGCGAGAACCAGCTGTTCCTGGAGGAGGAGAGGCGGATCAACCACACGGTGCGTAGGCTGCGCCGCTGAGACGCCGCGGCCTTGGCCGCATCCCATGGTCATCCACCCCTGGTGTGGGCCTTGTGGCAGGGGCCAGCTCAGCCACCTGTGACTGCAGGGCTGGTCTGGTGCCACCATCCTGCCCAGGGGTGGGGTTTGCATCCCCATCCCCAGCCCCCCTGCTCTGTCCCTGAGCCACGATTCGGCCTCTGATTTGTGTCCCTGGGGCCTGGAGCAAGTACGGCCCAACCCCGGGTACTGCAGATGGCAGGAGAGTGTGTCAGGGTCTTCGAAACTTAGAAGGCTATTCTGACAGATGTCAGCGGCACTGCCCAAGTGTCGACAACCGACTGTGAAATTGTCAGCAAGGTCACACGCCTCCCCCAGGTCGCCCACTCGGGCACTGAGGTGCTCTGTGGTGGCTGAGACGTCGGCCAAAGGCTGCCCTTTGTGGGACTCTGGAGTCCCAAGTACGGTGGGCTGTGCGTGGTGGTGGCCTTTGGAATTCCAGGGGCCGCAGGTGGCCAGGGGCCAGTTGTACCGTCACCGCAGTGGCCTTCGCCAGGCCGTCTGGCCACCACAGCTCTGCCCCCCACCCCACCTCCGCAGGCCTTCCGGACGGTGGAGATCAAGCGCTGGGTCATCTGCGCCCTCATCGGGATCCTCACGGGCCTCGTGGCCTGCTTCATCGACATCGTGGTGGAGAACCTGGCCGGCCTGAAGTACAGGGTCATCAAGAACAGTATCCTTTGTCCGAGCGCCCTCACAGCACAGGGGGGCGCCAGCGGGAGGCCCTGGCCTGGCGTGTACACAGCCTGCTCAGGAGGCCTGGTTGGGTCGGCCCCGTCACAGTCGGGCTATGCGGTGTCTCTGGGTGTCCAGTTAGCGCCATGGCCCTCCCAGGCCACCAGGTGAGCCCCTGTTGGGCACCTGGCGACCTCTGGGCCGGGCCTCTAGCCACTCTGGCCGGGAGGTCGGGCCTCAGGGTGGGGCGGGGAGCAGGGTGGGGTCCTGCTGGTGAAGCGGTGACCACCCTTGACATGCCCAGATATCGACAAGTTCACCGAGAAGGGTGGGCTGTCCTTCTCCCTCCTGCTGTGGGCCACGCTGAACTCCGCCTTCGTGCTCGTGGGCTCCGTGATCGTGGCGTTCATAGAGGTACGGCGGCCTCGCGGCAGGAGGCACCTGGGGCGTCAGACCCAGGGTGGGCTCAGAGGGTCTCAGTGAACGGATGGGATCCCTTCAGCCCATGCACCCGCTCTGTCCTGCCCGCTGCTTTCTGGCAGAGCCACATGGTACAGACATGAAACCGCTAAGGAAAACAAGAAACGCAGCCAGGCTGCTTCACCCCAGACTGCTTGACCCAGAGCACAGCCCCACGGCCACCACCACGGCCCCCACCC